ATTCGGACACGAGTTGTTAGTTAATACTCGTACATATTAAACTGTCTGCTTGTATATACATATAATACATAACGTGTACGAGGAAAATGGATAAAGCCAAAAGTTTCGTACAATAATTTGGACTAGTATAGTAAATAAGTTCGTCTCTCTCGCACTCGCGTTGAATAATGAAAAATGAACCGAATCCAAGATCTCTGTACGGTAGACGGTGACGAAAAAACATAGTCGATTATAGCTCAGTGTAATCAGAGTAGCAGCAATTTCTAAACGCATTTCGTCCTGTCTCCGATTACGCGCATTAGATCCTAAGGCTTCCCAGCAAGTTCATTAGACGCCGCATGGCTTCGCAGTTTCTCCTCCCTTATGCGACCCGTGCAAATCAGTGTCTCCTCCTGCTTCCAATTTTCTATGTTATTTACATATAGATATATTATAGTATGTACAGTATATGCGTATACTCAGGTATACACTTTACTATAGCATATTAATACTACAGTTGAATCTTTCATACAAGCTGGTGGTTGCTCGAACGGAATTGCTGGACGTTATGAAAAATTGTGACGACAGAAATAAAAAAAAATAATAATGAAATTAATAGGGAGGATTAATTAAAGAATCGAAATGACCGCTGGGAGATTTAGATGAGAAAACGTTGAAGAGTTCAAAGGTAGCTGCGGTTTACGTGATCCGCGTAATTATTTATCCAGACGGTTATAAAGGAACCAAAGACTTCTGGACTCTTCGTGAACCGCACACGTGAGACCCGAAGAATCCCTAGGTGGGAATTGAAAATAAAAAAGTGCTCGATCGCCTGGCCGGTAATTTTTTCTTTCTCTTCGTTCTGACGCTGGACAAATTTTTTGAATAGCTGAACGAAGCGTAATGACAGACGGGACGGGACTAATGGACGGGTGGGGACGAAATGAGATCAATAGAGAAAAGAAGGAAAAAATTGCGTTTCAGTAATTTCGAATCTGGTATATTTTGCCGCCTTGTACATTTACCAGAAATGTCCTACTGTGCGACCTGATTCGCGCTTTGGAGACCAGAATTTTTGCTTTTATTTTGTGGGGTTCTATACCTGTTTTTCTTTGATTAAATTTTTTTCTCGTTCAATTCCTTCAACGTGATTCGATCAGTTTGTTAATCTCACCGTGAACATTGACAAACTTTCGCGATGAGTTGCCGCTCGAGCGGGCACTTTTTTGTTTCTTTTGAATATTCGACTTTTTAATTTCAATCAGTCGTAATACATCGGGTGAGTGACATAATGGGTTAATATTGTGTAATATGAAATAACTTGGTGTAAATTCGTGATAAGAGGAGTGGCAATTTTTCTTTATTATCTTACAGAGACTATAGGGAGACACTTTAAATCGATTAGAAAGAGCTCATAAATGAGTACCTTGATAGCCAAACAAAGTTATCCACCATTTTGATCATAGTATAGCCGCGTAATATGTGGTCCGTGAGAAAATTAAAAAAAATTCTTTTTATTTTCCAATTTTCCTATTTTATCGCCATCAAAAACTGGCCTCTCCAGCAGCGTAGCCGAGAACGAATTTTATTATCAGAAAGCTGATATCGAAAGTGAGGTTATACCATATAGATAAATGGATATTTCCCATATTGGGATGGACTTTCGATAAAACGATTTTACAGCCTTCAATTTTCTGCCCTTGTGCGTGCGTATGTGTATATACGCTCATGCATATAAGTGCATCGATGCATATACGGATTCATCTATATTGGCTGTCCAGATGATAGGCGAACCAAGTGCTCCTTCCTTCTAGAAGCTGCGCTTTTTTTTTTTTTTTTTTTTTTTTTTCCGCTGACGCCTATACGGGGTTAGGAACCGGACGAAGGTCCGAGATGAATCGACGGCGCCTACCGACGCCAGAAAAATAGAGCGCCCTGGGCCGGTGATGGCGTCGATGAATTTTTTTTTTTTTTTTTTTTTTTTTTTTTTCCCCGGTACTATTAGGTAAACGAGGTCGACAGATAAAATTTGATTGTACGAACGTCAAGGATGCCCAATCGATATCTCATATGCATGCGTATGAGTGCATGCAATTAAATGCATTCGATGCAGTTTCTGCTGCCTGCTGTTAACGCCGAAGGAACTCCAATGTGAGAATCAAGACGCACGTAGATTCTTTAAGGAAGCTGGCGAACCGTTTAAATGAAGACAAAGTATACATTGGATTGAGCAAATGGGCTAGGTCGTCGACTGTCCTAATTACAAGTGAATTGCAAGTCAATTTAGTCCGGACAGCAAATAACATACGATTAGTATAATTTGTTATGTAGGCATAGGTAAGGATAAGAGGGAATTTATGGGAAATCTTGTATTATTGAAATTTATTATGCATATTTGTCCATCCAAATTAACGCGCGTTTATATGGTGAGTCAAAAAAGTCACAGGTAATGATACAACGGGAATTATTGTGTAAGTTTGAAGATTTTGTGAAATTCATAAATCCTTGAGAAACCAATATCAGAAATAGCCATATATCGTATTGCATTCTGTAACCAACCTTATCATTTCTATCTAATAGCAGCTGAATCTGACACTATTGTACACTGGTGTTTTCAAAGGTTCCGTATCGATTGGCTCGTGTAAAAATAATAAAAGAAAAGTAGCGAAAGAGGGTAAAAGAGTGAGAGAGAAGGAGAAAGATCGAAAAAAAAGGGTGTCAAGAGTCCCTTAACACAAAAGTAAAAAGTTAATTGGACGACAGTCCTTTGGCCACGATGAGCTTCAATATAAAGAGAAAGAAGAGACAGAACAGAGGAGACATCATGTCGAACTATAGAAACTGAAAGAGAACAGACGCTACTGGCAAGACCTATAAAGTGCTGAACTGGAGGGTAAAAGGGTATCTTCTGTAGAAGAAGAATAGAAGAAAGATAATAAAAGGGGACAAAGCAAAGGACGATAAAGAGAAAAGAGAGAAGGGAAAAAAACAGACGGTCAGGTCTTGTCACTTGGGAAATGCGCTGTGCGTTTTATGCGTTTATCTACATTGCGTGTTTTCCTACCATACCGACAGAGTAGGACTCGAGAAGGCGCCTCGCCGGTATCCATCAAGCTACGTAACGCCACCGCAGGGAATAAAGATGGCCAATACGTTTTCTCATTCCTCGCAATTCGCACCGTTTTCCCATTCCGACCCTGAGCAGGAAAATTAAGGGTTTTGAACTTTTCTTCTCAACAAGAGGAATACACAACAGTCAGGATTCTCTGGCTATCGCGTCTTTCAACAACCTCTACGCTTACGACGTAAAGCCAGACACGCTCTTTCATTGTATACATAGGTCTGTACTTCGCTTTATTCGCTTCTCCTTTCACTTCCCTAATCCGACGCGTCCTTCTTCGCCTTCCTTAATCCGCTTGCACAATCTCTACGTAACTGGATACTGAATCCCATTCCTGTACCGAACCAGCATAGCTCAAGTCTCGACCACCGATCTTTTTCCATTCTCTTTCCAAGACTCCACATCTTTTGTTCCATTTGTCCTTCACCCTAATTATCTTCACAAAAATCTTTATTTCACTTGATTAAAGGAAAAATTCACGGTAATTAAATTTAGCACGTCTAATCTGACTTTTATCGTTACCCACAATGCACACAGAGATGCTGCTTGTCTCTGCTCCTATTTCGTCTTTTTTATTTGTACCAGAAACAAGACTCATTATTTGCTATACGTCACCCACTCTATACGAACAGTATTCTATGGTACCTTGGGTCGTCAAGCAACCATCTGACAATTTAATCTACACCTGCACGCGTCCTTTCTGCTGCCCTAAATCTTCCTTTATCACGCCAACCGCCTTTGTCTTACAAATCCGGACTTCATTTTGTATATGAACCAACACTTGCAACAATTACAAACAATGTAGTTGTACGTATGTTCCTTTGTAATTTCTCTCTCCCTTCTCGTACTCGCTGTTGGATCACTGTATGCCAAGTAAACAGTAAAATCTACCACTGCAAACTACGGCGCAACATCCATTTGGTTTGCGCGCCAGATTCAAACGTGTACTGTGTCTGTTAATGGTAAGAAATAATGCATCGAGAACGAAGCTCTTGTACAGGGCATGGATTATGCAGATAATTAACTCAGTCACGTTTATATAGCTAGTAGCTAATGTTCTTGGACATCGCAAAGTTTATTATAACGTGCAAAGGTACAGTTTTAGTTATTTTTTATGCAATCATTTTTTTCTCTTGTAATATACAGCCTGATGAAGTATACGTCTTTTCATATGGTGCGTACGGGGTACGTGCGTTTAAGCAATGTTTCTAAGGTGGATTCAATGAATATTTCATTGCCTTGCAATCTTATGGGATATGCGGAAATCGTATTGCGGTTCAAATTGTTCTCACAATGTTTTTTCCGCATTAACTTGACGGTCTTTTGTGTTTATTTTTCACGCTCTCAACTCTTCAACCTTTCACCTCTGGAACCAGAGGCCAATATCATTTCTCCGGATTGCTTTCACGATACTCCCGGCTTCTTATGTATCTTGTACTTACATATATAGGATATCTTGTTCATATATATATATAACGGGATAGGATATTCAATTCCTACAGTAATTGGATGGTAAACGGAGAATTTCGATAGCTGAACACGTGCAGCACGATAGAAATACAAAATCGATCTGCCCATTACTTTATCATTGCCATATTAATAATCTAGCTTATAGCCTAAATACATATTGTCAAATATATTAATTCGTGTCGAATACGTGTCAATTTGAAGGATGCTAATAAAATATTTGTAGATTCCTGTTTTATCATGTTTCTTGATATGATATTAAAATTTCATGTAATTTTATTTCATTAAATTAAGCTCCAACCATATCGACAATCTAGTTTGATTAATAATTATCCGAAATACGCAGTTATGTATAATTGTTATCAGCTAATAATTAATGAACGTATCGATGATAAATGAAGTCAACCTATATACGTTTCTATATGATTTTCAGGTATATCGGGGGCCATGCTGGCACTGGAGCATTCGGTATCTCCAAGGTTAATCGTAGCCGCTTCCCATACGGCGTTATCTGGAAATTTGTCGGTTCTGATTTTGGAATTACCGACATTCGAAAAATCCGTGACTTCGGTGTCGACCACCACCGAGGATGCGGATATCATTATGGAAGAGGACGAGGATGATGAGATAGGGGGTCAAAGTCGTAACGAAGTATTCGGCGTACCGTTGGTACTGAGGTAGAAAAAAAGATTTTTTTTTGAAAGAATCTAAACTTCCTTTTTTTGACAATTCCTATTTTTCCTTTATTTGTCTCCTTTTTTTCCAACCTGGTGAAGTTGACGATATCGGGTTTTATAGCTCTCGAGTATCTCGTCAATCACTTCGCGTCGAATGGATCGACTTGTCCACGGATGATTAGCTCGCTCGAGCTGCTAACAGCCCATTAATCCATTTCCTTTGTTTCCTCTTCTTTCTCGCTCTTCGAGCCGAACCAACCTCTCTCTCTCTCTCCCTCTCTCTCTCTCTCTCTTTCCCCGTAGGCTTCCCTGAAATATCGTGAAAACCCAGGATGAGAATGGACGTCAGCAATGTTGCGACGCTCGAACGATCCTCTCGGTTAAAGACCAGACGAAAAATGGAGTCTCCATTGTCTCTGCTATTAATATTGTGCTCTGTGTTGTGTCAGAGTTCTACGACTGGATGGCTTCAGCTCGGAGCTGGTGGGCGAAGTTCCCGTGGAAAATGTAGCAGCTTCCGGCGGAAATGTCTCCCTCGTGATACCCTGCGGCTTCTTTTCACGTGGCGGTACTTACTCCCTTCAGGTACAGCAAAAGTCTTCAGCGTCTCAAGACAAATTTATCGACGTCACCGACCTTCATGAGCTTCAGGTACGCTTTGTGATAATTCTGTAATCGATTGGTAGGCTTTTAAGGATTAATGATAGTTTAGAGAAAAATTTGTAAAATAACATTTCATATTTCTTACACAGATGAAAACCAGTCTGGACGTAAGATGGCCGACTCCTTCTCTGTCCTTGGAACCACAACACTTGAAAACTTATCCTGGACAGCCAGTTCTGGCGACTTTGGAATACGCTGGGATATCCTGCACACCATCTGCAGGGGTTCCTGTAACCACCTACTCTTTGCAACTCATATATTGCGGTGCCAGCGTGCTGTCCTGTGACCCACGTAATAAGACTCACGTACAGGTAAGGTCGACTGGCAGATGACTGCTGGGAAGCTTAAATACTTTCTCAGGTCGTCGAACTCTGACCAGAACCTTTATCCTTCTTTTAGTATTATTTTTTATCCATTCTATCGATTCTATATCCAAGACATTATTCATGCTTCAATCTCTTTCCTCACTCTTGCCGATTACTATTTTCCACCTATTCACCCAAACGCCAGTGCAAGGCAGAAATGAAGTCGTGTGGCTTGCAGGCGCTGTACACCGAGGAGGTCAAAGGGTTTCCTCTTCAAAGGGTCGTTACTCTACGGTGCGAATTTTTTGGATTGGCTGGCCATTACGCCCTCAGACTTAAACCAACAGACGCTAATCCGAGTGCTCCGACTACTAGCGCCTACATCAAGGTGAGTATATATACGTCCTTCGACAAGATGAAAAGTTAGGTTAGGTAGTGTCTAGGAAAATTCATCCTAGAGACCACTGACCTCAGGAAGGCGTAGCCATCGCATTTAACTAGGAATGAGACAAGTTTCTTATTGAGAAATCTAATCTAATTGATTACAGGTCGAGTGGTCGGATCAGTTTGTCTTCAACGTTCACGCCCGATCGGTAAAGCCTTGCGTCGGAAGTACCGGTGGCATATCGGTCCTCTTCGAGTATCCTTCCTGTCGCCTCCAGGGCGACCGTGTAAGGGTGTATGGCCGACTTAGAGCCGACGTGGCTTCCCTGGCTCCTCCATCGAGCCTCCATTACGTGGCCGAACTGAAAGCACCACCGGGAAAGCACACACTCACTTTCGACTGCGACATATTCACCGAGAGGTTCGTCGAGTATTGCTTCGTCTACGTTAGCGAAGCCATCAACGGCGCCATGACGGAAGTCAGAGTCGACTGCATACCTACATATCCTCTGCAAGGTCAGCCATTGTCACGTTTCATTTAATTTTTCTCCTCTTGAATTTCAGACAACCCCATGGAACTTTGTTGGGAATAATGGATGCCACAATGATGTACCGACTTGCAGGCCTTCATTGTCCTCTGTAATAAAGTACAGGGAAATTCGAATAATTGTATCAAAATATTACTTAAAAAAAATCTACTTTATTGAGAGATTTTTCTCCAATTCTATCTTCAGCTTCAGTCTCGTTTTCCGGTTTACCATGTACTGCTCTACCCATTCAAGTCCAAACTGTCCAATGGCACAGCAGGGATTTTGTTGATAGTAGTACACTGTCCGAGTATTACATGATATATAGAGGGGTTGCTACGTTGTCTCTCGCAACCCTCACATGGAGGGTGGAAAATTTACGTAGATACAACTCACGGCAACCCTAACGAACTTCTATTGATTAAATGCTACACTGTGAATTACTTCACAACGATTCCCAACGATTAACGTACCTGGTATTATTCTTTCTGGAAAACCCTGCGTCTCGGCTGACAACAGACTTATCCATGATTTATAATACTGACAGATTTATTTTTTTTTTTTAATATATCTTTTTCTCTCCACAGGGACGGGGATGCCCTCTGTGTAGTATCGTCGTAACCTGCTCTGGAATCTTGGATTCAAAGTCTGAGATATTCCTGATATTGTTTTGAAAGAATAGGGAGGACTGGATCAAATATTATTTTCTTTCAAGTATCATCCCTTTGGGTCTGCGGTGATGATACTTGAGGCGTCAAAAGCAAAATCGATGGGTTCCCCATTGCCTCATCCCTCAACCCCCTGGTATAAGTAGTCAAGTATGACTGACGTGGACAGAGACTCGCGCAATCGAATACGACGCGGATTGATGATTCCATCATAAATCGTCATGAGGAATCTTGCGTTTAGGAATTTTCCTCGATATCATCTATGACGGATGGTGCCTTTATGGATACCGCTTAATGGTGTATGACGATACTGCTCTAGTAGATGAGAACGAAGGGATAGGAAATTGTGATTTGCTTGATGACAGTCCCTGGTATCTCTGTGAATTTCGGAATACTGGATACCAACGCGAATGGATGAACTAAGCTTTCGGAATGGCGAATCATTGTGAACGGGACTTAATGCTCGTTTGACATAGCTTTTCAGATAAACGAATATCTTGTTATACTTGAGTGAATTCTCTGAAAATGGATTTTCCCTTCTGAGGAAAATTCAAATTTTTCATGAATTTTGATTATACCTCTAATTTTATTAGTGTCCTTACAGACTTTGAAAATTGTTCTGGAGTTTCTTATTGTACTTTTATCTCGTGGAATTTTATTTGTTTGGACACAATCTCCATTGGTATTACGGATTCTAACAGCTTAAGAGTCTCAAGAAAAAGTTTGTAAATAATCTGGCTGTTTTCTTCTTTTTTTTTTTTTCTTTCTAGACAAGACGCAGAACGTTCAATCTTCTTCGATGCTTTCACATTATACGATATTGACAGCGGATTCCACGTATCAGGGTCTACGCACGTACATTATACGTTAGACATAAAATTAATGCCTGCTCACGTGTCTCATGAATCTTATCAGGCAATAGTCACTCCAACTTTATGCAAGTGGCTGATGGATTTCGTACTAACTCTAGTAAGTGTGAATGATCGCTGTTCTTCTTTGACGAGATCTTTGTTGAGATGCACTTAAGAAAATTTATCTTTCAATTACGTACTTTGAATAACTGTATGATCGGATATCATAATGACTTTTGACGTTGAGAACCTCTGAGCTACTTTGGCAAGCAATTTACGTAAATAATCTTGGGCTCCCATGATGAGAGCACTTCGGCGTGTACTGCGACCCAGATTTAACAGGACAAAAGGAAGTAAAAGTGCTCCCTTTTCTTCTTCTTCTTCCTTCTCAGCGACTTCTTCAGGGATTGGCTGGTGTGGAGCCGTCGCCACGCAGTTTGTTCGTTCATTATTTCCGACAATTCAAAGAGAGAAAAGTCAAAAGTAAAGAAAGTCGGTGTGGCGGAAGTGAAATTAAAAAACTCTCAATGAATAAGATAAATTCCTTTCAGAAAGTAAAATTCGTTCACATTGTATATTGTATTAGATTGATGAAACGTGTCGAGAATTATTTCAATATATTTCGTGAACGATCGTATTTTTTCCTTCCAGCACGATGCACGAGTTATATTTTACAAATTTACAAAATTATTTGCGTAAGCGTTCCAATTTAATTGCGAGTTTATTCTTGCGAAATTTCAATTTGTACCTTGTAGCCAACATGGTTATGGAAGAAGATCTGATCGTTCAAGCTTTGCTCTCCCTCTGTCTCTCGGTCTTCTGCCACTGTTGCGGTACTCTAGGTACTTTACTCGGTACCCGGTGCTAACGACCAGCAAGAAAATTACGTTTAAAGAAAACAGGTAACCTCATTTAAATACCGAATCAGCCAGACAAGAAGATTCTCGCAGGAAGCAACGCTAAAGGAATTATCTGCATTTGCATATAAACTGCACTTGAACCCTCTTGCAACGTGGTTGGAAGTGGGCACGAGGCTTTCACTAGAGACGGGACACTAGCTCCTTTCTCTTTGCTTCTTCTCTCGCGCCCTTTTTCATTCTAGAAGTTATCCCTTCGTATAAGTAGAAAACATTACCACGAGTGCTCGTCTAAGTTATGGAAGGGTCTTTCAGGTTATACTGATCCAATGAAATATTCGTTTAAGGATACAAACTTCTTCGAGTACTTTAATCGAATAGAAAAAAAAAAAAGGAAAATTGGCCTTTTACAATATATAAGGGACACTGGTAGCAGCTCTGGAAGGGATCTGATGAATAACGAAAGTATTTTTATTTCCCCTGTACTTTTCGTCATAAAATTTGAATCGTAACAGCAGCTGACACAAATACCTATACACACTCTTTCTTTAGCAATTCAGTTGAAAGTGAATAACCTAAAGACTGTCAAATCCGACCGATATCACCAATCCGGATAATCTCATATAATATCCATTGTGTGAAGAGTCGACTTAGGTTGTACGTCGCGACGGCATTCTTTTCGCCATCATTCGTCAAGCTACGTGGCGACACTGGTGACAAATGGAGAAAGCTTTCCTCGTTTGATATATGTATATCCACAGCACTTATAAGACGAACCAGGGAATTTCCATGATGTTTTCATGAAACCAGACTGAATTTCCCGCTTGGATCTTCATCGCTTCCCCAAGCCCTTGTACCTTAATGTTACATCTGTTTTTCCGAGAGAATCAGGTGTGCCATTTTGTTAAACAAATGAACCTACCAGCAGCCATTCTTTTTGTTTTCTACTTTTTTTTTTCTTCCACGCTGGCTGCGTGCGTAGGATAGATACCCCCCTACGTCCTCCTCCCGGTACTATTTGAATCCATAATTCAAGAAGAGGAATTTTTTTTCATTCGTTGCGCAGTTTTATCTCGACGCTGATGTAAGGGGGAAATAAAGTTGGATAATGAGTTGGAAAATTTAATAATGCGGCAAGAGACTTTCCTGTCTTCGTTCACACGCTTTTTCTTTTTTTTCGTTTCTTTTTCTTCTTCCGTTCGATTCAACTGTCTAGTTTACGGTTTCATCCGACACCAGTTATCGTGCTGGATTTAAACGGAGATGATCGACACTAAAACTGATATCTGTATTGCAACTGTAAATCCAATCCCAGTGGCGTTGTCATTGCCGGGCTGAAATTGTATCACCTTAATCGCTTTGACGATCCTTAATCGGATAAACTGGCTCGGATTCAAAAGAAAACTCTACAAAGCTCAATTGACGTCAGGCTTTCCCTTTGACACTTTTAGTATTGGGGATTTCGGATTACCAAAGTTAAAGTTTTGTCTAATGAATTTCCAGGATCATTAATCTCTATAAATAGGGGATGCTAGAAAGTTGTTTTGTTTTATGAAACACAATTTTCTAATCAGGAATATATATATATATACACATATATATGGAAGAAAGTGGACTAATTCTCTAAAACATTTAGACGGGAATGCTGCTGGTTGGGGACCCTGGAGTCAATGGACTCCCTGTAGCAGTTCCTGTGTAGGTGGGACGCGAAATCGTCACAGGTTTTGCGACACGCCACCTCCAAAATACGGTGCAAAATTCTGCCAGGTTGGTAAAACTGTTTTTAACACGAACGTTCTTCATGCGGTCACTCTGTCCAATAATTAACTTGTCCCGCAGGGAAAAGCCGTGGAAACCGAATCGTGCGGCGGGACTGGTGAGCTGGATCTACACGGCATATGGAATCCTGGAGACTGGGAATGCCGGCACGGAACAGGATTAGCTGCGCATAGACCGGAAGTAACGGCGGAAGTCGGTACGAAGTGCCGTTGTGGCTGCGTGGTTAATCTTACCGATGAAAAACCAAGAACGATACTAGCTGCCAGTACTCAGGCATGTCCTGGTCGGTCATTTTGGTTGATTCAGGTATCACAGTCACGAATAAGAATTTTTTTTTAAATCTAGCACTTATAAGAACTCTTGACAAAAGCATTGTATGCATATACAGACAGCAGGAGAATACACGGTGAGATTTCATTTGGACCAAGCAAGATTTCCATGTCCAAAACAATACATAAAAGTTCGCGATGGCGATTCCCTCAGTGCTGAGCTACTCGCAGACGTTGCATTTGATAAAAGTGAACCGCCAACAGGGACAGTAATATCTTCAGAGAACAGTTTACTCGTGGAATTCTTCAGCGACGAAATGGCAGCCGAGATTGAATCCTGTGTCGGTGGTTTTCTCGCCCATGTTATCACGTTCCGTAAGTCTGTCCCAGTGTAGGAAATATTTTTCCTATTCAATATTTAATAAAAAAATATTTTTTACAACAGAAAATCCTACAGCTGATAACGGAACGACAATCTCAACGTTACTTCTAAATCCAAAAGTTATGGCTGCCGCAGGACGATGGGCATTGTGGTTGACGCCTGCTCACTTGGTCGCTGCCTCTCTCCTTATACTCATGTTTCTTGTCTCTGTTATACTTGCCTTGCAATACGCACTCAAGTACAGGAAATATCAGATTGCAGAAGATCTCGACAGTCTGACGGATAATTCAGGTACGTGGAATATATGTACAATAACATTGAAGAAGCTACTGTGTACTTCAACGTTTCGAAACATAACCCCATGTCTCTAATGCATTTCAGCCTGCAGTGGTTCCATGCAAGGACTAGCCAGACGTGCAAGAGCTCTTTCGTCAGCTACTTTGATATCTGAAGTCGTATCCCTAGTACGCTTACCAAGAAGAGGATCTACCAAACATTCGAGACTGGAGGAAGCGCCTGCTGATATCGAGGATGGATATGAGAGCACGGAAACGCAGGCGGAGTGAGTGTTAATTTAGGAGATAATAAATGACTGATGACATTTATATGCTCTAACAGAAATTTTTTAAAAAGACAATTGAATGTCCTTTCCCCTTTTTTCCGCCCTTAAATGTTACTTCAAATCATTTTATACTTATTGCTAGAATCTGTTTAAACGGCAGAGTCGAGGATGAGCAGAGTGTTGACTCTGGTACTTTGAAGCAAAGGGAATCGGACGAGTACGGTTCACAAAAAACTATTGTACCAAGTGTCATGAGCACACCGACGAGACGTTCCTCTACTTCTAGTACTTCGGCACCTGGACAACCCGAGGTCAAGTACGCCCGACCAGTTAAGTAAGTTCGGACTAGGCATGTAGCCTGTTTTATGTATAGAGATTTAAAATATTTTTAACAGGTTTATTGAAATAGCTTTACAAAGATTTACAATTATTTGTACAGTTTTTAAGGTTAATACAATTTTATCAGTTAACGGATTTAACTGTTATCTTTATCTTTATTAATTAAAATTATCGAATGTGCACGTCAGCTGCATGCATTGTACAATTTCTGTATATATATATATATATATATATATTGGTTGCTCGACTAGTTCTGTATAATAGAAAGTCGATACTGTATAAACGTTCTTCAGATATATTTAACAGCTAGCTATTTCACTGTAGTAATTTTATTCTAATTGGTTGCTCGACTAGTTCTGTATAAT